TAACTGGCACATGTCGGATGATTCCCAGTGCAACAGCAGATGCTTCACGAATTTTTTGGGTCATGTCGATTCCTCTGCCATTACAAATGTGAAATCAATTCTCCGATTGAAAGTGAGAAATCAAACAGAGCGACGGAGTGGGCGGAGGATTCCAGCACATCCTTGACTATGAAAATGGCCCGAAGCCTCCGTTTCCGTCAGTGCCAAAAAAAACCGCATAAAAGAAAGCTGGAGAGGGTGGGAGAAAGTGGGAGAAATGCAGAAGAAATGAACAGGAAAATTCCGGCAAACCAAGGAGTGAAGCAAAAGCCAATGAAAGGAGAGGCATCAAGGGAAATGGATCAATGTCGAATCGCAAATAGGAAGTTGATGGTAATTTCAGTAGAGAGCTTATGTCTTCCTTTGTAATTGTTCGATTGATTTCGAGGATCTGGAATAAGCGGAAGTAGCTTACCAGATGGACATGATTTAATTAGGAGCCTTTGTTAAAACGAAAGACTTTCTTTAAAGGGAAAATTGGGTGTTACTAACTAATTACTTGGGAATATAATTAATAAACCAAGAAGTACACCACTTTATGATTAAATATTTACTGAATATTAATGTGCCGGACATTTGTCAATTAATTTCACTTTGATTGATTGACTCGCACATCCCCTGCTTGTATTTATTCACTGACTTTCGAGTGCGGAAAATAAAAAATTCGCAAACAAATGGCCATTACAACATTGAGCTGCGCCAACAGGATGGGGTAGCGCTTGCCACAGACAAATCCAGTTACAAATTGCAACATATTTGCATTCGCCGTTTGCAACATTCACCATTGACTAAAGCACTCACTCAATCATCGCTCAGGGACAAAAGCAAATACAAACACAAGTACCAAAAATACGACAAAAATTTCCGCAGTATGTACGAGGGAAATGGTGGATCTGGTTTTACTATTTTTTGGCCAAAAAAAAAAGGGGGAAAACTAGTGAAATCGATTGCGTGCTGCGTTAAATGTCAGCCCGCAGCCAATTGCAGATGTCAACACATGCACCCGCCCAGGCAAACAGACACACATACACACACAAACCCACACACAGGCAGACCAAACTTATGTCCTGGCACACGCACATATTTTGCGCCTAAAAGATGCCAAGCGAAATTTTCACGATTGAAGGGCTGAGTGACAGGAAAAAGGAAAAGGGGAAAAGTGCCGGCGGAAAAGCGAAACATTTTTGATTTATGTGCGTTATATTACACGAGAAACAAAATTATTATAAATTACTGACATAAATAATAAGAGAGGAATAATATTTCTCGCCGTGTGGTTGTTCATTGCGTGTCAAAAGCGCTCAATTAGAAAATGCCAAAAAACTGTCTGGTGAATTCATTTCAATTTTACAGGACAGAGAACACGCCCCAAGCCTCCAAAAGCCCCCAGAAGCCTTTCCTATTAAATTCATTGTCCTGGCTGTCAATCGCATTAATTTATAATTATCGCGTACGCATACAGCCATCATGGACTACAATGGCCGACTAATTAAGGCAAAGCAATTATCTTGGGTAGCGACTAAGTCGGCCCACGGACCACTTCAAACTGCCATTAGGGGCGTGGCAGATCAGCAATCTGTCTAATCCCATCTGGTAGCCCACAATATCCTTATTCGCCTTAAATATGCCGAAAGGTAATTTGGCCAAATCCCACGATTTGCCTATTACTTATCTCAATGTCCTTGTCCTTGCCTATCTGCCTCCTCACTCCGCCAGCTGTCCTTGTGCTAGGATGTGTTTGCACTGTGAATTAATTAAACCGAATTTGATTATAGTGATTCTGTTATTTTTGCTTTTTTGATTGCAAGATGTTTAATGCAATGTAAACAGAAATAAATAAAGCTTTAGGGACCCCGCTTGCCATCTCTCTCTCCCACGTAATCTATTGTCTCACTTCCACCCCCTGAGTTGAACAATAAGCTTCCTCGATGTTGATAAGACGGGGAAAAGAATACAAAAGGAATTGAGAAGATGAAAGAAGTGTTCCTTAAAAAAACCCCGAAGATTCTAATACACTTTTTCGAAGGGTATTATTATAGTACTAATAAAACAATTACAACAAAATTACAACAGCAAAATTACAAAAAAAAAAATGCAAAAAAAAAAATTATAAAAAAATAATTACAATAAAAATTACAACAACAACAAAAAGACAACAACAACAAAAAATACAACAACAAAAAACTACAACAACCAAAACAAAAACCAACAAAAACCACTTTTACAAAAAATAAATAATTATTTTGCCGGTTTTTCGGGCCTGCTTAAGTGCAACCTATGAGAATCGAGGAGGAGGGCGCTATTTTTTAATAATTATTTTAAAAAATTTTATTGAAAATTTGGTAACTTTTAAAGCACTATTGTGTAATGTTTCCATACGCAAAAAAACCGTAAAATTTGACTCTTCATTACTATTTGACTTCTAGGCTCCCTTAAAAGTGGGCAATAAAAAAATGAGTGTTTACATTTTCAGATTTTTAATTAAAAAAAAAACATGTTTTCCTTTAGAAATTAAAGGACTTTGTCCGTCAAAAGATTATAATACCCTTCTGCAAGGGTATAAAAAGAAAAATATATTGGCATTCACATCTCAGGGGAATCTTTTAGCCCCCAAAAAAAAGTTCTTAATCGCCTTCAAAAAAAGCGTTCTCAACATAAAATTCCCACTAAACGTACTACGAAAAAAAAGGAAAATAAAAACCATTGGCTTATAAACAAGTTAAACAAACCATTGCCACTTTGAAATCATTTTCTAAAAAATAAAAATAAAAACAGAAATTGGTTGTTTTCAGAACAACCCCAACTAAAATTCTCCAATTTTTTTTGGAAACTCTCTGCAAATATTTGGTTTTTTGGGGTGTGCGGTGTGTGTATATGTGGTTGTGGATAAATTTTTGAAAATTTATTTGAGGCAGCCTGTGGCTGCATTTGAAGTGGTAACCATTACCAATGCGTGTTGAAACCTCGTCCTTATTTCGTCCTGCCCCTGTCATGGCCTCGTCCTGGCGGAGGGTATACATATTTGCATGGCAAATTTTTTGTTGAATTTCTTTTAACATTTTAGTCGGTTAATGTTTTATTCATGCGACCCCACAGAATCCCATTAACAAATTTACACATTTTCAATATTTTTGTGTTTTCTTAGTGGGAAATCGATAATGTAGTATAATAAAACGAATGTAAAAATACAAAAAGCTAAAAAATCTGTGAAATATTCAATTAGGCAATATAAACACAAAGATACTGGAATATTCGAACAATGCCATCTGCATGCTCGCGGCACTTATTTCAAAAGTCTATTTTTGAGTATTTTGTTGTGCCTGCTGGTGTCTGCGCACATTTATTTGGTATTTAATTATTTTAATTGAAAAAAAAACACAAACACACGGTTTCCTTTGTTTATGTGTGGGGCCTTGGGCTCTACGCAGTTCCCTCCAAACCTACATATTCCCACCGACGACCCTGTAAGAAATACTTTGGCTGAGTGATAAGCGGGGCATTAGTAAAGGAAATTTATTGCCGGGGTTTATGAGATGAGTTGCTAATGCCGGGATTTCACAGAGATCTCTAATGTGATTGCTGCGATTGCTGCTTTTCAAATGCCTCTGTAAAGTCAAGTTTTAAGTTGATATCTCAGTAGGCTTTGTGAAGCCTAAGTCTTGGCCATTCAACAAGTGAGATGCCAGAAACTCCAGTGACCTTGTACTTAAACATTTAAATACCAGTCTTTAAAGAGTGTCCTTAGTTTTTACCTTTTTAAGGCTGCCGGGATATCCCAGTTGGCAATTGCATAATGGACCGAGGACTGTCCCTTTTGATGTGACCCGAAGATTAGAAGGCAAACATGGACACACAGGTCGGATGATTAATAAACACTTTTAGTTTTCACTCACAAAAGGGAAGACCTTTTCCCCAATGGTGCCCAGAGTCATAACAATTAACTTTAAAGGTTTAGACATAAATCCTAGCACAATTGTAGACCCGACAAGGACCCGACATACATGTGTGTAATAGGACACAAAGAAAAGGCACAAAGTAAAAAAGTAAAAAATGAATAATGAATGAGCCGCACGCTAGCAGAAAATCCAGAAAGCCAGCCAGCAGTAAGGGGTACGAGAGGCTAACCGGGCCAAGTGGGCGGGAAAATGGGAAAAAGCTTGGCGGCCAGGCATGAGTAACACTTGACATTGCCTGGAAAAGAAAACCCACACATACACACTAACGGCCAAAAAGAAAATCCCCCCGAAGGCCCAGCCAAAGGAAGCTCGTTTCTACTGAATTATAATATGGCATGCAGATAAAACATGGAAAGTCAAAAGGCCCGGGGGGAACTACAATTAAAAGAGAGCCTTCCCCCTTATACACAGAGACACGCACCAAAACCAAAGCGACCACCCAGCCACCTCCCGTCACAAAAATGAAAATTCAACAATTTCAAACACTGCCGGAAATCATTTCCATATGTATATTTATATGATTCTCTGTACGCTATCCACGTTCACATGTACAAATACACCCCGAGGATAAGTGCAGGCCAAGAGAAAGAAAGCAAACTCTGGACAGCTTTCTAAGAATTTTCCATATCGCAAATATAAGGCCAAAATTCTGCTCTAACCATGAAAAGAATTTCTCAACGAGCCAACTCTGGCTGGCTGGCTGGCTTTTGTTTACGGCGTGCCTGGAAAACCGCACAAAGGAAAAGCCCAGAAAAAAAAACAAAAACAAAACCAAGAAAACAAAAACCAATTCAACAGTTTGTTGCCAGCAACATGTTGCCATCATACCGGCCAGCAACATAAGCGCCTACGCTCGACATGGCCCCGGGTAAAAATTTTGGCTCTCTCTTCTTCCTTGATGCGGCTCTCTAACGCTCTTGCTCCGTGTTCTGGCCATAATCGTGTTGAGTTTTCCACATTGATAAAAGCAAAAAACCTGGCCATAATCGAAACAGTCTGCAAAGGATTCTAGGCGCTAACGGTTCTTCAAATAAAAGTCGAAAATCGCAATCGTCGCGTGCGTTCAAAGGTTTTTGGAAAGTTTTTGAAATCAAAAAACGTTATTAAAAACAAAGTGAACAAACACTTTTGGAGAAACTCAAAATCCAAAAGTCATCTAAATTTGAAAAAGTAAATATACATATAAAACAAGTATTTTAAATATTTTTGATTCAAGAAAAGACTTTAGTTAAGAAACTTACAAAATATGAAAACAGAAAGTGCTAGCAAAAGTAGTTTATATTTTTCATAATGTATATCCTGTGTAGCTATTTCTATCTAAAATTTATATTTAATTCTAAATTCTACTGCTAAAAATTGATTTTTTTGAGGATTACCTCTTCTAAGCTCTTTAACTCAATTTTTTTCCTGTTTTCCAATCACATTATTCAAATTTTATAATTCCTGTTAAAAGCTTTTTAAATCTGACCCCAACTAGCCTAAGCTTCAAAATCCAGAGCCGACAAACTCGTTCAGATTTTTCAACTAGGGGCAAAAAAAAATCCAATTTTCAGAGCAATGGAAGTTGCCGAAAAAAGGAGCAACAGGAAAAAATGTTTGGCATTTATTGTCGACCCGCTGACAGCTTCGAGCGTGTCAAATGGCTTAAATTTTTTGTTCAGCATCCGGGTCTAAGGGGAGTAAGCGATGGAGGCTGCTAGCTGAAGGAGCTGCTTTCAATTAAGAGGTTGAGCCAACTCAGGCTTGTCCTCATTTATATGCCTAATGGCAGCCACAAGATCGTCGTCTGTCCTTGACTTTGCCTATTCATACGCAAAATTAAGCACAAAGGGTGGCAGATAATGAAGAGGGCCTCGGATGGGGATTGGATGGGAATACCACGGCATGGGGCAGTGCCAGACACTGGCATGTAGAGCTGCGTGCCAACATTTACGAGACACGTTAATTTATGCTCATTCATAAATCTGCCTCTGTGGAAATCCCTTGCATTTGCCGTCGCCAGAATGTATGCAACACTATATAATAAAGCAAATTGAAAATTATGACAAAACAAGGACGTCTCAGGACCAAGGCGAGGATGGAGATACCCTTTCTTATTATACAAAAAATTATATTAAGCTCCATAAGAAGTAAGGCATGATAAATTTTTGGGTTATGGGTAGAAATGTCAAATACCTTTTTGTTAATATATATAAGAGTATTTTGAAGACCTTATAACTTTTATTAACACCAACTCATCATCATAAAGCAAAACGTCTGGCTAATTGAGAAATATGTCAGAACACGAAGACCCCTTCTTAAGGGCTCCCTTGAAAACAGAATCTTTTCACATTGTGGCTGTAAGATGGTGCCAAAAATTATTAATTGGATGACAAACCAATTCTCGCTTGTTCTAAGCAGATTGTCCTCCAAACAACTAGGTTGCTAAATTGCTAATTATATTCTCGGTTCAACAATTTATTTGCAGTATTCTAACGCGAAGCGAACCAACAAATTGCATGTTCAAAATTCGAATCATTAAAATAACTCATTTCCCGTTCTTGTATTTTTGTTTGCGTTTCTCTCGATTTGAACAGTGCACGCGCTGAGGCAGCATAAATAAATAGCGACTATCAGAACCGAAAAATTATCAAAATAAATACCTATTGTTAGGCCAAAATGGGCCAACGAGCCACTACTCGACATCAAGCCAAGACTGAGGGCGTTCTGTTTGCGTTTCGCCTTTCGCGCGAATTTTAATGGCATTGGGAAGGAAGTGGGGATTTTCATTTATAAATAGCCTTCCATTTACCGAAGGGAAAAAAGGATGTTTGACTAATCGAAAGACAAACACAGACTCAATATGGCGACGTCACAGAGATGAGCAATGATTGCAATTAATTTGAATTAATTTCACACTATTCAGACGCCACGAGATTGATGGCTCGTTGTGAATTCAAATTGCGTGGGAGTTCGGGGCTTTAAATAATGATGCTGTCATGCTCCTGCCATCTCAATCATAAATTCCTTAAATTCCACAGACTTTGCAGAGTGTCCTTTCTCTTAGTTAAACTTTCGCACTTTGGCTGGCGAACTCTTACCTTTCTGATAATTTCCCAACTTAAATATCGCCCGCAGGTATTGACCGTAATTATCTTTGAACAATGTCAAAAACCGAAAGTGCCATTAAAAAACGTTCACGCCTTACGGTAATAATTATTCTAATTACAAGCCGTTTTTTTGGGGAAAGTTCTAGCCCCATGGGGCATGTCAAATATGTATCTTGTCGGGTACAAACAGACCGAAGAAGGCGGAGCTGCCACAGAGCAATCAGCATAATATTATTCTTGTTGTTTTTCCATTTTTTTTCCTATCGGCTCGAGTCTGAAATCTTTCCACACGCGGACCTCCAGCTGGTTAAATACAGGCCATTATTATTTATTATTATTATTATTATTCCTTGATGATTATTTACGCAAAAGTAGCGTAAAAAGTGCCTTCTATTAGCTATGTAAATATTTACAACGTGGGACAATTGAACAATTGGCTGAGGGGCCCAGGGGCTCTGGGGCTGGGTGGAATGCCTTGTGACGTCATTTAATGAATAAACATGAAGGAAGCCTATTAAAGCCCCGAAGTAAATACTCGTATGCATACATGTTTATATATTGGAATATTTATATATTTATTTCCACGTACTAACAACCTGCAATTGTTGTGATTTTTTTATGGTTCTGCTTTTTCCTGAATTCTATGAAAACTCAAAAGAAAAACATATGACGCAGTCTGTTTTTTTTTAGAGAAAATATTTCAATAGTGAGAACTTTGGCTGGTTTTTGGGGGTTTTTCATTTCAATGGTTTTTCTTGGTAGTAGCAGTCGTAGTTATGAAAACCCACATCACGCTGTGAGTGATTGCAATTTCCTTAATTGGGACGGCACTCTCTGCTTTTCTCGAAAACCATCCAACTTTTGTTTAAAATTCATAAAAATTGTATGAGAACTCTGTGAAAGGATAGGTTACACATTCTACTCTGATATTTATAGCATCGGGTTCCTGAATTCCAGTTCTGACCCTCACAACTGTCAGTCCTGCCGGGCTTAAGTGACAATTTTCAAATTGACTGACTGGCATATCCATTACGCCGCACCTGTCATCGACTATAATTTATTTGATGTTCATCAACAGGAACAAATTGGGAATTGGGCTTTGAATATTCAATACTCCATTCAACCCATATGACGTATACGCCCTGTATCCATACAATAGTAGTTCAAAAATTTGGACTCTTTGTCAGAGTCTAATAAAACTACATAAGATTGACCGCATGTGGAGTTTCTCATCACTTTCCATCTGCCCCTTGGGAATTTAATTAAAAATGTCCAGCGCCCAGCGGGTTTCAGTCGCCAGACAAAGGAAAAAGCGTGTCATGACGAAAAAAACGAGCACAAAAAAAATCATTCTTTTGTGTTGTTTTAACAATTTTCATAGTGGAGTATTTTTCAATTTAAATTCAACGGATTCTAATGGCTAACCATCTCCGGAGAAGCTAATTAAGGGGCCTCCACAGTGGGCAATAAAATATAATAAAATTGCAGCTGTGGCAGACAGCAAAAAAAAACCAAAAACTTGTGTAAACCAACCACTAACTTTCCAGCACATTTTCACACATTTTCTTTAGCACGAGAGGAAGAAAAAAATAGAAAAAAAACAAATGGCTAACTAAATACACAAAAGCTTCCAAATAGCGGCCAAATCCACAACAGCTCGTAAACAACTCTTGGCCAGCTCTCGGCATGACAAATATTCGGAAATCAGACAAAAATTTTGGGGGCCGGTGGAAAAATAAAGAAAATATAAAGTCCAGGTGCATGATTTTCGATCTGTTTATGCAGATCATCATCGAACACTTTCCGGCTGATCGTTGTAATTGGAAAAATTAGTTTTCCAACACGAGTATACAAATTAAGCAGCTTATAGACAGTAAATTACAAAGGAATTCTTTTTTCGATAATTGTTTACAAAAAAACCGAAAAAAGACAAAGGAAAACCAGAGGAAGAGGCATCGCTAATGCAAATTCCATAAATCAAGAGATGCCATTAGAAGAATCGAACTAAATATATCGCCCGTGCAAAGGAAGGAAAAATAAATAAACCGATTTATTAAAATCAAATCCTATAAACCATTCAATTAAGTGAACTCCCAAAGGTTAGATGTGTGATTTATAATTAAATCAATTGGAACGACCACTTTTGGGCAATTAAAAATTATTTTTGCACCCCATAAGTTGTCGTTCTAGTTTGAAAATTGGATCATAAATTATCGGAGAAAAGTTCCTCTTGCCAATTTTTTGTTTTATCTGTGAGTCTTCCTCGTTTCCACCCGCACGTTCTTGGCCTGTAGATGACCTAACAAATTGGCATTTAAATTTTTAACTGCATTTTTATGATGGCCTGCTGCCACATCCCACATCCTTAACCTACATCCTCCTCCGTCCCAGCTCTGACAGAATGCCATCCAAATAAAATAAGCCGTAATGCAATAAATAAAACTGTTGCTTTTGTTGTCGGCCCTTTTACAAATTGTCTGCCACCACCGGACCCTGGGCCATAAATTAAACCCTGGCCGAATCCGTACCCTCTAAGCCTTTTGGGATGAATCTAAATCTTTTGGGGTACGAGAGGACATGCAAATCAATCCTGGACGTAGGCGTTCGGTTTAATAACCAGCTTACAGGATTAACTGATGGGCATTCCTTTTTATAGCCAGTCATGCATAAATAAACATATTTCTTGAGGCATGCCGAGTAAATGTCAATGTCAACTGGATCGTTTTGGGCTGGATTCGGCTTCCTTGCCTTCTTGCGTTTGGTGGCCTAAAGTGGCCCAAGCCAAGGCTAAGTTTATTATGCCGCGAAAAATGCAGGCACTCTCGACTCGAGTGCCTCCGTGTAACCCTTGCACTCAGAACATTCAGCAGAAACAAAGAACTACGTCAAAGTACACTCACCAACACGTCCAAACCAAGCAAGGACTAAGTTTTCTGTTCTTCTATAATTCAAATGTTAAACACAGTGATGGTTCTGGTTGCAGAAATGTTTTTGCTTATAATTAAAAAAGTTTGTTTTATAAAAATTATCATAAAAATCAATATTGTAAACTATAAACCTCTATAAAATATTAATAATTAT